TCTGCATGAGAATTTTGATGATATAGCCCTAAAAAAATTCTAAGATGAATATAACTGTAAAATATATATGGAATTTGATTTAGAAGTTATACTTTTCACACAGACATGCTTATAGCAATTCTGAGACTACTGTCCATATATCCTGGAACTGAACAAATGAGCAAATACAATAACAATGTTGGGAGACATGATTTTTGCTATTCAAAAAGACAAGTACAGATAGTGAATTTGAAAAAATTAGGAAGAGTCTTGTGGAGTTTGATCGGAATTAGAAGTGTCAGCATACAAAATAGACAGATATATCAGTAGATATTGATGTATGATTGTATAATTGTGTGTGTCTATACATTATAAAATTGACCTATTTCATAATTAATTCTACATCTACATATACATTTATGCTGAGATGACCTAGGTAGTGCTGGAAATTGAATGCAGGGGTACTCTACCATGGGCTAAATACCCACTCCTTTTTATTTTAAGTCAGGGTCTCACTAAGTTATCCAGGCTGGCCTTCAAATTGTGATTTTCCTGTCTCAGCTTCCAAAATATACGCATTATGATACCTGGTTCCAAATCTGTTTTTAAATGCTATTTTCTACTAACAGGAAGCACAGTACCTTGGAGAAACCACTGATTCTAGGATTGGGGCAGGAAAATAAGATGACCATGCAACATTTTGTTATGCCATAAATTAAGGAAGTGGCCATAGAATGAATGGGGCATTTCCAAAAGAGTAGGAACCAGCTCAAAAGAACTCAAATCCTAGGACAACTTGAGCATTAAAATAATGATAGGGTTTGATTATAACTCATTCAATAAAATAAAAATTCATGAGTAGATACTGATAACAAATACAGAAAAATAAGAAGGGAGAATTTTTCATATGTAGTGTGGCAACTAATAAATATAGAAGGATGACACAGTTTTTAAAAATCACCATTTTGCAACTGTCATAGGCAAGAGGCATCAAGTGAATGTAAACTAGTGAATGAAAGTGTGAAAAGAAACAAGATCATACATAGTCTCAAAGTATCTACCCCCCAAATTGCTTATTAATTCAAAAAAACAAAATAGTGAAATTATAGAAGAGATACCTGGTAGACATTATCTTAACCAACATTATATTAGTGGGAACAAACTGATATAATGTGCTTCCTGATAGGATGCATGGGAAGACACAACATTACTTCTGTAGTATTCCTGCTTAAGCATAACTTGAATCTAATCATGGAGAAACATCATATAATTCCAAATCAAGAGACAGTCTACAAAAGGCCTGAACTATTAAAAAAAAAAAGTCCATATTATAAAAGACAAAGGCTAGAAACTGTCTCATATTAATGTAGACTAAAGAAACATAAAATTAAATATGCCACAATCTACTAGACTCTAAATTATACAGTAATATGCTTTCAATATCATATTTAAATATACAGTTCTTATATTTTTATAATTGTAACTATGACTATGTAAGAAAATGTTCTTAGAAAGAGTTAGGTATTTAGGGATAAAGGGGAATGATGTCTATAACTTACTTTCAAACAGACCATAAAAAAGTAATGCATATTAAATTCTAAAGTTCGGTTTTCTTTAAACTGAATAAGTTCCATTATTTTAGTCATTTCAATTCACATGAGACAAAACAATTCAAAGAGTTGCTTAGTTTATGAAGAAATTTGGCAAGTTAAAAAAAAAGGTATTTGTAGTTTTAATTCATTCTATTTAATACCTATCCATAGGAATTTTATAATCAAAGTAATTATACTGGAGAAGGAAAACATGCATGTAAATAAGTATAACGTAAAAGAAGCATAATTTAAGTATCAAAAATGAAGTATAAGAAAGCACTAAAGGAATGTTGATAGGGAGTTATTAATTCATATCACTATATTAGCTAAATTTAACATTTATAATTTACTAGTCATGGTACTTAGTGCTTAATTCATGGAATATATCAATAATCCTATAAGACATATTACTATTATTATTCCATTCTATAAATGAGGCAACTGAAGCATAGAAAAGTTTAATATCTGGCTATAGAGTATCTAGCTAGGTGGCTGCACAGCTAGTTTTCAAATTCAGGCAAGTTGATACCATGGTAGAAGGCTTAATGAAGGAAGAAGCATTTGAATTGACCCTTAAAAGATGCTTATACTTTCAGCCAGCAAGAAAAGCTGAAAAGACAATACTCAAGACTGCTAGAAAAATAAAAGTGAGGACATGGAAATATTACAAATAAATTGTATAAAAGAAACTGAACAGTTAAGGGAGGGTATGTAAGATGTGAGGAGAGAAGCAGGGGGCAGATTGAATAGATTCAAAATTAGATTCCATCTTGAGGATTAACACAGCCTTTGTCAGTAAAGGGAATGATTATTAAAGGGAATAATATGCACCAAATTTTTCATGTAGTTCAATAGATTTAGTAGAAGGAAGGTCTTTGAGACATCCACATGAACCAAGTATCAACAAAATTTTATTACAATAAAATCTGTCCTAAAAGTTAGTATAAGAACATAAGTAATGTGTTCTTGTAACATTCATAGTGATCCTCCATGACCTAATATAATAATTTTATTTCACAAAGATCCTACCATCATGCAATGTTGGAAACTGCCAGATCTGAAAACAGCAAATTTAAAATGCTACAACACTGCCAGAGTTTAACGAAGTCTACAGCTTTTTAGGAAACATTAAATGAAATGTGCATAAGCATGTAGCTCTGCTATTTCAGTTCATTCCTTGTCAAAATATTTATGAAAACAAGATGATCCAATTAAAGGAATACAATGAATAATATATTCAATGAACTCTTACAAACAAACCAGAAAAATGACTGGCATGAATGCTTAATGTTAGATATTCTTGAAATGGCAGTTGACATATGATTGTTCTTATTAATAATAGAAAATACTTTGGTTCTATGGTTAGTTAGGCATAAAGAAAAATGTAACATTTAGAAAATTTTTCATTTCTAAATAAATATAAATATTGATGAAAGTCTGATTTTTATTTCACTTATTATTATTATTTATTTATTTTTTTTTTGGTGCTGGGGACTGAACCCAAGTCCTCATGCATGGTAACTACATGCTCTATCATTTAGTTATACCCCTAGTCTGAAAGCCTGAATTTTTTTATTTAGTAAACTGTAAGTTAATCAAAATTTATATCATAACCAAACAGTATATAAACAAAATCCAATTGCTAGTTATCATAAAAATATCTAAATATTTGAAAGTTAAAAATCATTTATAATTAAAATACTAACAAATTCATTGGCGATATGTTTGTACATAATTACTAAAAGACAAAAGAATATCTATTTCATTTTTATAAAATATCCTTGAAGCACAGAACTTAATTCCCCAACATAAACTTCTTCTATTCTTTAAGAATTCGAATTATTTATTTGATCAAAAAATAGAATTGATTTATAAGATGGAAATATTAGGTAGTATCACAGACGAGAAGAATGTGAAAAGAGAAGGCAAACTACTTCAAAAAACATTTTAAAATCAAAAGTTATATGTTGTTAAATATAAAACTTATAAAAAGGTGAATAACCAAAGAAATAGGTCTTTGAACTAGTCTCAATTTTCCCCTTAAAAAAAAAAAAGCTCTTTAAATGGTATATGAAATCCAACAAGTATCTTTTATATGTTTAACTTGGTTTCCAAGATTAAAGGAAAACCATACAGTCTTTAAAAATGGTGAGAGGGTTTATAATTTGGTGAGAGGCTGAAAACTGGTATGATAATCTTGAACTGATACCGCAGCTGCCCTGAGAATATTTTCTAATAATTGGGAATGTAAATTTTAATAGCAGGGACAAAGAAGAAGCTAGTCCTTCATCCTTTGCTTGGTAAAGTGTTATAACTAATATCACAACATAAAAGCAAAAACCTTGAAAAGCTCTATTCCCTCTGAGAATTGTGCATTAAAAGTGTGGTACAACAACAAAGGAAAATGATAAAAGAAAAGTTATCTATTTAAATCTCAGCTCCAGATAGAAAAATTTAAAGAATTTGCAGCTGAAAAACTAATACTAAATGATCTTAAAGTTCTAATACTTTGAGAAACCTGATATAACAAATAAATACAAACACTTTTTGTGGGAATTTACCCTTAACTCAAATCGTATAAAATCTTACAATTGAGATAACCCAAAACTGAATAAGACACCAGGAATAAAGTCAAACAAAAACAAAAAAAAAAAAAACAAATAGAATTAAACCACTTTGAAGATCAATTATTAGAAAGAATAAATATACAATATAAAATCATAAAAAATGGGAAATTAAAAAATAAACAAGAAAAGGTTATCAAAAACAAATCAGCTGGAGACAGTGGCATATAATATAATTCCAGCTACTTGGGAAGCTGAGACAAGAGGACTGCAAGTTGGAAGTCAGCCTAGGTAGAAACTTAATGAGACTTGTCTCAAGTTAAAAAGGGCTGAGAATGTAGTTCAGTGTTAAAGTGCCCTTGGGTTAAGTCTCCAGTATCACAAAAAAAAACCAAATATAATTTCAAATAATAATATAATTATTTACCTAAATATCCATCAATAAGAAAAAATTTTTCAAATAATATTTTGAGCAGCTGGGTAAAATGGATTATGGACTATTAGATGATCAATGAATTTTTGTTAAATTTTATTAAGTGCAATAATGGCATTCTGATTATTTGAGATGTCATTGTATTATTAACAAATGTACTAAAATATTACATATTACCTAGGATTTGTTTTAAGATATGCCAGCAAAGAAAAAAAAGGACTAAATGAAAAAAATGTGGAAACTATTAAATCTGAATGATGTATATATAAAATTTTTATAATAAAAATAATATTAAAACAACAGTATAACCAGAATATTAGATACAGACAAAGTGAGAAGTAGAGAACTGGAAGATGGATCTGAAGAGAGCATTCAGATTATGACAAAAACTTAAAAGGAAAAACAACAACAACCAAAAAAAAAAAAACTCACCTTCCTTTGGACTCACTGCTGCAGGAAGACCATTCCAGTCAAGGGTCCAAGTAGGGCAAGGGTGGGGAGAAAACATCACTTCAATGCCATTTTCCTAGAAAAGGAAATAGGCTCTTTCCAAATTAATGAATCAATAAAACCCCGTTATGTTTTTAAAGACCAGATTTCTATTTTCTATACTGGCAAGGAGGAACACTACTAGCAATAATCATTGGATCTTTCACCAAATATTTAGTTATGTAAAAAACTACATGTTGGGGCTTTTTGTTATCATAGTTACTTTCCTATCATTTTTATGTTGAGATAATAAAAAGTAATGATATTTTAAATAATGTGTCATCAGTTATAAATATATATGTACAGATAAAAATATTTTAATACCTGAGAAACACACATAATTAATAAGCCATCAGAAATCCATCGAATATCATGGAGAAAAGTTATTTGAGGATAAAACTTTATCAAAAAACAATCCACAAGAAAAAAACAATCCACACAGAAATTATAAAAAACTAGCTTTGCATTATGTCCATCAAAAGGTCTATTTTTAAATTTATTCTGATTTGTTATACATGATGGCACAATGCAATTCATTTCATATTAGACATATAGAGCACAATTTTTCAAGACATCGATGGTACACAAAGTATTTTCACACCATTCATGTCTTATACATGTACTTAGGGTAATGATGTCTTACTCATTCCACCATCATTCCTACCTGCTTTCCCCCTCCTTTCCCTCCCTCACTTTTGCTCTATATAAAGTCCCTCCATTCTTTCAATGCTCCCCCGCCAATTCCATTATGAATCAGCATCCTCATATCAAAGAAAACATTGGGCCTTTGGTTTTAGCATTATATTCTCTAACTTCATCCATTTATCTGCAAATGCCATGATTTTATTCTCTTTTAATGCTGAGTAATGTTCCATTGTATATATACCAAAGTTTCCCGATCCATTCATCTACTAAAGGGCATCTATACATGAAAACTGTCCAACATATAAGCTCCATTTTAAAGTACCAAAAAATATCCACCATATCTGTCTTTTATAAGGGACAATAATGCCTCTAGAAAAGGATTCCTCTGGTTTAACTAAATGGATCCCAACATTTTTAAGGAGGACCACTTTTTAAAATATTAAATTTTTATCAGGTTCCTCTCTATGTTGGAAGTTGTACATTTATTATTTGATCTAGAGATACTGGCATGACATACACATGGATTTACAGACCCTCCCAATCATATTCTAGGTTCACATCCCACCATTGTTCAAGGTATTTTTACCTCTAGAAAAACCCTACTAAAAGAAAGATTTAAGGCAGACATGGTAGTGAATGCCTATAGATGCAGCACTTGGAAGGCTGAGGCAGAAAGATAGACTGAACCCATGAACTGAGGCCAAGCTGGGCAGCATAATGAGACCCTGTCTCAAAATTCAACAACAAAAAAAGAAGGAAGGAAAAGAAAATTAAGTTCTTAGAATTCAACAGTAACCCCTTTATATCAATTAATTAATGAGATTAATGTCCATTATGAAATTGGCTGTTTGAGTCTCAAAGGAAACAGTATAAAGATCCTTTGTTAAAATTAGAGATATCACTGTAAGTCTAGACATCTAGAGTGCTCATTTGCTTACAGAAATAAAAACACATCTCTCTGACAACTTTCTTCTAAATCCTTAATGTTAGTTACACTGAACTTGTTATTCCTCATTTTTATCATACAAGTATGTTGAGAAACTACTTATATCCCATAAAATTTACTCTTTCAAAACATACAATTCAATACTTTTTAGAAGATTCACAGTTGTATAGCCATTAACCCTATCTAGTTTTAGAACCTTTTTATCATCCTCCCCAACAGCCTTATACCCACACACTCAAGAGATGAACCAAAGATCCCTCAGCAGTTTAAACCCACCTGATCAAGCACATCAAATTCTGGATATTCCTCGATAACTTTTAAAATCAACTATATACCTACCCAGATATGGTATATAGCCAGGTGGTACACACCTGCAATTCAGTTACTCAGGAGGCTGAGGCAGAGGATTACAAATTTCATGCAAGCCTGTGCAATTTAGTGAGACCCTGTCTCAAAATAAAAAATAAAAGGGGCTGGATATTGCTCAGTTGTAGAACATTCCTAGATTTAATTCCCAGTACTACAAAATAAATAAATAAATAAATAAATAAAACCAGCTATTTAATCACAATTCATTGTTTTATCAGTAGGCTACAGAGTTTGGCTGAAGAGCAACAGACCTGGTGTCACTACTATAAAGTTTTCTTCTTCATTTCTAAATCAGTAAACTTTCTTTTCCCTAGAGAACTCAAAATACTTGCTGAAAAGAAAACTAGGAAAATATAATGAGAATTTTTCCAGCGAAACTCAGAACAAATAAATTATATCAGAAAAATTATATTTTAAAAAATATTCAAGGGGCTGGGGATGTGGCTCAAGCGGTAGCGCGCTTGCCTGGCATGCGTGCGGCCCGGGTTCGATCCTCAGCACCACATACAAACAAAGATGTTGTGTCCGCCGATAACTAAAAAATAAATATTAAAAAATTCTCTCTCTCTCTCTCTCTCTCCCCCCCCCACCTCTCTTTAAAAAAAAAAATATTCAAATAGTCTATTAAAGACAAAACACTTTTTCAGAGCATTTCATATCGTTTCATATCAAAAGATAGGGAAAAAAAACCCTATTGGTAAAAACTTTATAATTAGTAAAATAATGCCCTAAAGAGAGAAATATATATCATATGTGTTCCTTTTATATGTATAACAAAAGCATTGATAAAACCAAAAAATAAAATAAAAAGAAAATTCAAACAATTCCAAAATCATAAATTTAGATAAAAACTTGATAAATAAATTGAGAAATTTATCTTTATATTTCTTTAATTTCAAAGTACCATCTCAAAATTAAAAAGACCAAGGCCAATACCTTGCAATAGAAAAACATCTGGTTAAAACAACACACTTGACCAGATATGATACTACATTGTTCCATGTCCCAAATATTAAAGAAACGTTTTAAGAAATACATTTTAAAATTTATATAAATGGGACTGATTTGGATCTAAAGATACATAATATTAAAAATTTTCAATTTTAGTAAATTTTTAATTTACTGCTTAAATGCAAAAGACTAGCAGAAATATTAATCAGTAAAAAAGTAAAGTAAGATTGCTATAAATAAAATTTATAAGAAAAGTTATGTCAATAAAAGATTAGCAGTCAGGGTAGAATGCACAGCAACAATATCACATGGAATTTTGCAAAGAAAATTTAAACAGTTTAATTACCATTAATTTGGTCATAGTTGGTCTTGGTCCTCCTATAAATAAAGGATCATTTTGCTCCTCCACACCTGGGACCTCAGTTAAATTCAGATGTTGTTCACCTGAAGTAGTCAACAACTCTGGAAAATGGAGAAACTGGATCCCACACTTAGAAGCTGCTGTTTTTACTCCTGGAACTTCCTGAATCCTCTGGTACCAAGCTGCAAGCAGTGGAAATTCTGTCAGCTTCTCAGAACATTTCTTGCATATAATTGCCTAGGTAGGAAAAGGATAAGACACATTATTATGTATTTTTGTTTATAGCAGCTGTATTGAGGTTAACTTTCAGATCATAAAATTCACACATTTTAAGGATACAGTTCAAGCAATCCATTTTAGTAAATGGGGTGTTTTTGTTTTTGCTTATCCATTCACTAATTGATGTATACTTGCATATTTCTAGTTCCTGGCTATTACGAACAATGCCACTATACATAGGTGTATACCAGTGTTTGTGTAGAAAATTTTTTCACTTCATAAGAATAGATAATTCAGAAACAACTTTCTAGGTTATATAGTAACTGTACATTTAACTTTTAAATAAACCATTGAATTATTCTCCATGGTGGCCATACAATTTTATACTACCACTAGCAATGCACTGAGATTCCAATTTCTTTACATTTTGCCAATTATTGACATTGTGAGTAATTATTATCTTATCCATTCTTGTGGGTATATAGTTGTATCTCACTGTGACTTTCATTTGCATTTCCCTCTGATTAAAGATGCTGAGTTTATTCACCATTTGTGTATTTTCTTTGGCGATGTCTTATATGTTTTTATCATTCATTTTGTAATGTAAGAATTGGAAATAACTCAATAGTAAGGAAATGAAAAACTCAATTTAAAATGAGCAAAAGTCTGTACAGACAGCTTACTAAAACATATACACAGATGCCAACAAAACATATGAAAAAATGCTAATTTGCATGTCATTAGAGAATTGCATATTAAAACAAGGAGGTATTACCACGTATTTGTTATGGTTTACATATTAAGTGTCTCCCAAAAGCTCATGTGTGAGACAATGCAAGGAGATTTAGAGGTGAAATGATTGGGTTATGTGAGCTTTAACCCAATCAGTGAATTAGTCCCCTGACAGGTGTTATATAGGTAGGGTGTGGATGGAGGAGATGGGTCCCTGTGGGTGTGCCTTTGGGGTTTATATTTTGTGTTTTGTTGAGTAAAGGTGGGAGTAAAACTGGGGCTTTAAGGAAGTTGTACTTGTTAAAAACATTGCCAATATGTAATACTAGAATAAATAAAAATCTAGAACATTGACTACACCAAATGATAGTGAGGATATGGAACATTAGAAATTCTCCTTCTATGCTGGGATACAGATTGTAATATACTGTCACGACTTATAAAGACAGTTTGGCAGTTTCTTACAAAATGAAATATACTGTTACTATTCAATCTATCAGTCATGCTCTAGAGTTGAAAAATTATGTTGTCAGCTTATAATAGCTATATTCATAATTCTCAAGAAGATATACCAATGAAAAAATGAGGTATCATCTCAATCTACTTAGAATATTTATCATCAAAAAGACAAAAAATAAAAAATCATAGTGAGAATTCTGAAAAAGGGAAACTCTTACACACTGCTAGTGGGAATGTGAATTAGTACACCTATTATGAAAACCAGTATGGAGATTCCTCAGAAAACTAAAATTAGACCTACCATATGATCTAGCACTTCCACTACTGAGTATATATCCAAAAGAGATGTAATCATTATACAAAAAAGATACTTGCTCCCCCATTTTTATGACAGCACTATTTGCAATAGTCAAAATATGGAATCAATCCAGATGCCCTTCAATGGATGCATAAAGAAAATGTGGAGGCTAGGGTTGTGGCTCAGAGGAAGAGCACTCGCCTAGCATGTGTGAGGCACTGAGTTCGATCCCCAGCACTACATAAAAATTAAATAAAGGTATTGTGTCCACCTACAACTAAAGAATAAATTTAAAAATAAAAGAAAGAAAATGTGATATATTTCCTCAATGGAATAATATTCAGCCACAAAAGAATGAATTCTGTCATTTACAACATGGATGGAAGGTCATTATACTAAGTGAAACAAGACTGCTATGTGTTCTTACTCATTTGTGGAAACTAACAAGTCAACCATGTAGAGGATGGAATGGAATAGAGGCAGGAGGGAGGAAAGATAAAAAGAAGTCACTGAGGGGCAACAAAAGCACAGGGTAATCACTTCTGATTCTTCTTTAGCACAGTAGGGTAATAAATGAAACAACCTATTATATATTTCAAAATGACTAAAAAAGAATAATATATCTAACACATAAAAATGATTAATGGTTGAAGACGGAAATGCTTATAACCCTAATGTGCTTATGACATATTGTACATATATATTGAATTACCATAATGTATCCCAAACAAATTCTTCTCAAGTTCAAGAGTCAAATTGATCACAACACAATAATTTTGAGTGACTTTAACACACCTCTCTTACTACTGGTAGATCTTCCAAACAAAAATTGAATAAAGAAACTATAGAACTCAACAATATAATCAATAACTTAGACTTAACTGACATATATAGAATATTTCAACCTGCATCAAGCGGATAACACTTTCTTCTCAGCAGCACATAGATCCTTCTCTAAAATAGATCATATAATATGCCACAAAGCAATTCTTGGCAAATACAAAAAAGTACAGATACTACCATGCATTTTATCAGATCAAAAATGGAATAAAATTAAAAATCAATGACAAAATAAAAAATAACAATTACTCCAACATCTGGAGACTAAACAATATGCTACTGAATTAACAATGGGTTGCAGAAGACATCAAGGAGGAGATTAAAAAATTCTTAGACATGAATGAGAACATAAACACAACATATCAATATCGCTGGGACACTATGAAAGCAGTACTAAGAGGAAAGTTTATTGCATGGAGTTCATTCCTTAAAAGAAGAAAAAAATCAACAAACAAATGTCATCACGTTACATCTCAAAGCCCTAGAAAAAGAACAAATCAACAACAAAAGCAGTAGAAGGCAAGAAATAATCAAAATTAGAGCTGAGATCAATGAAATCGAAACAAAAGAAACAACTGAAACAATTGAAAAAATAAAAAGTTGGTTTTTAGAAAAATAAATAAAATTGACAGACCCTTAGCTATGCCAACGAAGAGAAGGAGAGAGAAAACTCAAATTACCAGAGTAAGTGATGAAAAAGATAATATCACAACAGACACTACAGAAATACAGAAGATAGTTAGAAATTATTTTGAAAACTTATAATCCAATAAAATAGAAGACATTGAAGGCATCTGCCACAGTCTGGCTGGGCACAATTCAGGAGCCACTTGTCAAAAGAAACAAACTTTTTATTTTTAGAACACACACACCACACCACACAGCTCCTCAGGAAAAACCCTCAGAGCCCAACTGCCACCACCGGGTTCCCACAAGCCTCTCAACCTCCCCCACTCCTCCTGCTCTTGAGGACAATTGGCTGGGTCGCGTGGGTGGAGCCAAAAAATGTTCCCCAATGAGCAGCTCCGTGGTCTGAAAGGGCGGGGAAACAGCCCAATGAGCATCACCGCAGAGGAGCCAATCAGTTGGCAGCTAGAAGTTTGCTGGGGCCACTGTGAGCCAATCATCAGCTGGCAGCTGGAAGTTTGCTGGCAGCTGGAAGTTTGCTGGGGCCCCTTGGGTTGTGGCTCTCAACAGGCATCAACAAATTTCTTAAGTCATATGATGTACCCAGATTGAAACAGGAAGATATACACAATTTAAACAGACCAATATCAAATGATGAAATAGAAGACGCCATCAGAAGCCTACAAACCAAGAAAAGCCCAGGACCAGAAGGATACACAGCCGAGTTCTACAAGACCTTTAAAGAAGAACTAATACCAATACTCTTCAATTTATTTCAGGAAATAGAAAAAGAGACAGCACTTCCAAACTCATTCTATGAGGCCAAAATCACCCTGATTCCAAAACCAGGCAAAGGCACATTAAAGAAAGAAAACTATCTCAAATGAACATAGATAGCAAAATTCTCAATAAAATTCTGAAAAATCGAATACAAAAAAAAAATCAAAAGATTGTGCACCACGATCAAGTGGGATTCATCCCAAGGATGCAAGGTTGGTTCAACATATGGAAATCAATAAATGTAATTCATCACATCAATAGATTCAAAGATAAGAATCATATGATCATCTCAATAGATGCAGAAAAAGCATTCAACAAAATATAGCATCCTTTCATGTTCAAAACACTAGAAAAACTAGGGATAACGGGAACATATCTCAACATCCTAAAGGCTATCTACGATAAGCCCCAAGCCAACATCATTCTAAATGGAGAAAAATTGAAGGTATTCCCTCTAAAAACTAGAACAAGACAGGGATGCCTATTTCACCACTTAACATAGTTGTTGAAATACTGGCCAGACCAATTAGACAGATGAAAGAAATTAAAGGGATACGTATAGAAAAAGAAGAACTTAAATTAGCACTATTTGCTGATGATATGATTCTATACCTAGAAGACCTAAAAACTCCACCAGAAAACTTCTAGAACCAGTAAATGAATTCAGCAAAGTAGCAGGATATAAAATCAACACCCATAAATCAAAGGCATTTCTGTATATCAGGACAAATCCTCTGAGAGGAAAATGAGGAAAACTACCCCATTTACAATAGCCTAAAAAAAAAAAAAAAAAAAAAAAAAAACTTGGGAATCAACTTAACGAAAGAGGTGAAAGATTTATACAATGAAAACTACAGAACCCTAAAGAAAGAAATCAAAGAAGACCTTAGAAGATGGAAAGATCTACCTTGCTCTTGGATAGACAGAATTAATATTATCAAAATGACCATACTTCCCAAAGCACTATTCAGATTTAATGCAATTCCTATCAAAATCCCAATGGCATTCCTCATAGAAATAGAAAAAGCAATCATGAAATTCATCTGGAAAAATAAGAGACCCAGAATAGCTAAAGCAATCCTTAGCAGGAAGAGTGAAGCAGGTGGCATCACTATACCAGACCTTAAACTATACTACAGAGCAACAGTAACAAAAACAGCATGGTATTGGCACCAAAACAGACTGATAGACCAATGGTACAGAATGGAGGACACAGAGACTAACCCACAAAATTACAATTATCTTCTATTAGACAAAGTTGCCAAAAATATGCACTGGAGAAAACATAGCCTCTTCAACAAATGGTTCTGGGAAAACTGGAAATCCATATGCAAAAAAATGAAATGAAACCCCTATCTCTCACCATGCACAAAACTCAACTCAAAGTGGATCAAGGACCTAGGAATTAAACCAGAGACTCTGTGTCCAATAGAAGAAAGAATAGGCCCTAATCTTCATCATGTGTGATTAGGCCCCAACTTCCTTAAAAAGATTACTATAGCTCAAGAATTACAACCAAGAATCAATAAATGGGATGGAATCAAACTAAAACGTTTCTTCTCAGCAAAAGAAACAATTTGTGTGGTGAATAGAGAGCCTACATCTTGGGAGTAAATTTTTACCCCTCACACATCAGATAGAGCACTAATCTCTAGGGTATATAAAGAACTCAAAAAGCTAAGCACCAAAAACACCCAAATAACCCAATCAATAAATGGGCCAAGGACCTGAACAGACACTTCTCAGAAGAGGATATATAATCAATCAACAAATATATGAAAAAATGTTCATCATCTCTAGCAATCAGAGAAATGCACATCAAAACTACTCTAAGATATCATTCTCATTCCAGTCAGCTATTATGAAGACAAACAACAGAAAGTGTTGGCAAGGATGTTGGGGAAAAGGTACACTCATACATCGCTGGTGGGACTGCAAATTGGTGCAGCCAATATGGAAAGCACTATGGAGATTCCTTGGAAAACTGGGAATGGAACCACCATTTGACCCAGCTATCCCTCTCCTTAGTCTATACCCAAAAGACTTAAAAACAGCAAACACAGGGACACAGCCATATCAATGTTTATAGCAGCACAATTCACAATAGCTAAACTGTGGAACCAACCTAGATGCCCTTCAGTAGATGATGGATTTAAAAAAATGTGGCATATATACACAATGGGATATTACTCAGCAATAAAAGAGAATAAAATCATGACATCTGCAGGTAAATGGGTGGCGTTGGGAGAAAATAATGCTAAGTGAAGTTAGCCAATCCCAAAAAACAAATGCCAAATGTTTTCTCTGATATAAGGAGGCTGATTCATAGTGGGGTAGGGAGGGGGAGCATGGAAGGAATAGAGGAACTCTGGATAGGGCAGAGGGATGGGAGGGGCAAGGAGGGGCAGAGGGTTAGCAAGGATGGTGGAATGTGATGGACAATATTATCCAAAGTACATGTATGAAGACACGAATTTGGTGTGAACATACTTTATATACAACCAGAGATAGGAAAAATTGTGCTGTATATGTGTAATAAGAATTGTAATGCATTCCACTGTCATTTATTTTTAAAAAAAATTTAATAAATTTTTTTTAAAAAAAGAATCAACTAGAAGATTGTAGCAAGCTAGCTTTCCATGTTCATTCTGATATATTTTCACCCTGTTCTTTTTTACTCCAGAGAGGATAAAACATAGGTATAATAAATACAGATACAGATAGATCTCTCTACTAGGAAAGAAAATGTTCCATCCATTTCTCCCACAACATAAAATAGCACTTAATCTTATAGAGAACTAAAAAATATATAAACAAAGATAAAATCTTTCTGATTTGATAATACCTGGAACAATGAGATTAATATTTTAGGTGATTACTTAATTATAAAATATAGCTGATAAGATTTTTTTGTTTTTGTTTTTTTATGCAAGACCCCCTAATATTATAAGGTGATTATAACAATTTGAAATTCATGGTAACAATTGCTACCATTATGGTAATTTAAAAGTCATAATATTAATTCATTTTTCTTTTTATTGATTATATTAGAGTGTATGTGAGTTACAACTGTAACAACTACCTAAGATAATCAACTAATAGGGAAAAGGTTTATTTTGTCTCAATTTGAGATTTCAGATCATGGTTACTTCATCCTCTTAATTTGGGCCTGTGGTGATAGCTTATAACAGCAGGAGCGCATAGTAGAAGAGGCCTATTAACCTCATAGCAATCAGGAAGTAAATAGAGACCGAAAGGGGCAGTGTTCCAACACTTTAAAGGGCGTGCCCCTAGTAATGTCACTTCCTTCCATTAAGCTCCACATTCCTAAAGTTTCCACCCTTGGGGAAACCTGGGGAAGCCTTCAACACATGAGCCTTTTGGGGACTGTCAAGATCCAAATTACAACAAAGAGTTCTTATTATCTCCATTTTAAAGATAAAAAGAAATGGAGACAGATATTAACAATTTGCTCAGAACATAATGATTTAATAGAATTGGAATTCAAACTAAGCAGATTCATAGATTGAACCTCAAAGAAACATAAACACTTTAGATAAAATCTTACCAAAAAATGATGGATACAGGGCATAAGCACAATATCTGCCAAAGTGAAGTAAAGCCCTTCTGCAAATACATGTTCCAGAGGTGGAAGGTCAGAGGCTTTTGCTTTCCTTATGTGAGAAGGCTCCCTGTTGGTAGTAACTGGTTCCTCCTGCACTCTGAGCTTGGAGAATGCCATGTTCAATTCCAGACTCTTGGATGAAGAGTCCAACTCTTCAGATATTTCCTGTGTTTGGACCTTGTTCTTTGCTTTTCCCTTAGCAAGGGCAGGCTTATCTCCAGCAGTCCTCTGTTGTTTTAGCTTCTGCCTTCGGAGTTTGTCATCATTGTGCACTCTAACAGGTTCACTAAGCTTCTTCTCCAGCTGTAGTACTTCCATAGGTATAGTTGGGAGTTGGTCAGAAGACTCTCTGAGAAAATTCTCAATAGCCAATGGGATGGTGAGTTCACATAGCCTGGTCCACTGACTAACCTATAAAACAAAATAAGAAATGAAAGGATTCTTCATTCTCAATATAACTTGAACAAAAATAACTCTTATTGAGAAATAACACTGGTTTAGATCATTTAAGTCTTGGTGCAAATCATCCCTGGGCTACGTTTTATGCTTTATGGAGATATTAGTACAGTGCTTCAGACATGAAAAACATTAAACAATGAAGGTTTTGCAAGGCTGTGTCCTCTTACTGAATAAGCATTACTTCCCAAACTTTTAAAAATACATCTCCCCACACAAAAAACAAAAACAAAAACAAAAGCACATGACTTCCAAAGCACTAAAAATTCTCTAAGTAGGCTCTGGGGACGTGGCTCAGCAGTAGACTTTGCCTGATACAGCAAAACAGAAAAATAAATAAAATTAAATTAAAATAAAATACATAATCCTCAATCTAACTGAAATAAAGAATAAAAACAAGTTATTCTCTTAAAAATGTCTTCAAGCTTCATAAATTAAATCCAAATTCTTATTTTTCAATACTTCAGTGTAATACTGACATACATGAAGGACTACTTTATTTCATTGGTTCTCTGGGTTTATAAATAAATTTTATTCCTAACTGAAAGTGAAAATAAATGGTCAAGTGAATATGTTATTATCATTGTGTAGTTTTAATAACAAGAGACCTTATACTTACTTCAGCGCAGGCTTTCAAACAAGTCTTTTTAAAACCCAGAAGTTCCAAAATTTCCTTCCTTGAAGGGTCTGCTTCATATGATTTCTGGATAATGTGTCTTAGTACAACAGCAAGTCCTGCTCTACAAAAATTGTCTGGTCGTTCTACCACCGCAGGTAAACAGCAATTCTGGACTATTGGTGGGAGCTCCTCCTTTGAGATAACCTGAATTTCAACATCCTGGGACAACACATCTCTAAGTAGTTCAATATCTGTACTTTCTCTGGTGAGGACTAAGTAAACTTTAAATATTTTGCAGTCACAGTATGATAACAAGAATAAAGTCACAGCTGTATGAAGAGGAAAGATGCATCCTTCTGTTTGGTGAGAAAAGTCCAGGTATAGATATTCTTCTGTAAGACTTTTCTTAATGCCTTTCATTTTCTTCATTCATTGGGCCACCTAAAGCATAAATTGAAGTAATTATAGGCCTTGAATAGAATTTGATAATTCAGAAGCTAAAATTAAAAAATGAATGTTTTAAATCCTGTTCTGAAAATCAGTAAGACTTTGTGATGTTACATGAATGTGTCTCTCAAGACTGAAATGTCTTCCAGAACTTTCCCCCAACTTGTGAAATAAACTAGTCTCAGGAGGCAGTTTTTACACCAACTTCTTTTAAAATGAGCATACTATAGTGCTTTTTAATAGAATATTCTTAATTTCTCTTTTTCTTTACACCCCCATAACTAATTTATTAGCAGCTCTATCCTCCAAGTATATTTAGGATCTAATTATTTCACAGCATTTCCATTGCTTCCACTGTGACCCCAGTCATTACCACCTCTTTTATGAATTACAACAAATGCTTCCTATCTTTGCTTTACATCTTACCTCCCCTCTAGTCTATTGTCAAAACAGCAGCCAAAGTGATTGTTTAAAATGAAGTAATGCCATTACTCAGTTCAAACCCTCCAATGTCTTCCAAGTTTACCGGTAGAAGAGCCAAAGTTCCTACAGTGGTCTAAAAGATCTCCTTTCATGTGTTCTTTGTTCATCTTATCAACTTTCCTCATTGCTCACTGCTCCAACCAAAGTAAATTGTTATTTCCTACAAAAACTCTGGGAGCATCTCCTACTTTGGGGCCTTTGCATTTGTTGTTTCCAGAATCTAGAACACTCCCTTAAGGTATTTCTCAAAGGCACTGCTTAGGGAAACCTTCCCTGGCTACTCTTTTTGATATTGTAAATCCTAATCCTATTCTCCCTGAAAACAGAAAATTTCTATGCTTTAATTTTCTCCATAGCACTTATCACAATTATAGCATACTGTTTGTTTGGTGTCTCCTAACTAGAATAATCCATGAGAGTAGATATTTTGTTTTGTTAACCACTATGCCTGAAGCAGGGAATACTATATATTTATATATAATAAAGAAGTATTTTTGAATGAATGCATGGATAAGTACATACATAGGGTGTTTTAAAGATGCATACACACACACTTGAGGTCAAATTATTCCTTTAAGAGTTCTGTCAATTATCAAGACTTCTTGAGTCATAAATTTTCTGGATCCAGCATCTTCCATGTTCTAATACATAAATAGTGATTCCAAAACTGACACTAGATGGTGCTCTTTAAAACCATTGGCTACACAAGTATGTAAAAGGAAAATGGCATATAGAAGGAAAAAAATTGTTTTGTTTTAAAGCCTTAAAAAGTACACATGCAACTTTATCATTTAAGTGCATTTGAAATGTTAGTGTACCCTTAATTTTAGAAAACCTTCAAATTTTCGTTTAATACTCTATATTCCTCTGGATTTTTGTTATTGTTGTTCATCAAAAGCATGAGTCATCACTGTTTAATTAATTTTCTTGGTTCAACTATATTTTTTCTTCTATGAAAGCGTTTATAATCCATTATAGCAAAGAAATGTAGTGAAGTACCCACTTATAAAACTTTTTGGTAACATGAATACTGTTATTTTGTTGTTGAAACATAGAGATCTGTACCATGGTTACTTTATTAAAGGATTATCTGAAAAGCTGGGCACAATGGTACATGCCTATAATTCCAGGAACTCTGAAGATTTAGGTAGGAGGATTACAAGTTCCAGGCTACCCTCCAGCAACTTAGAAGCTCAGCAACTTAGTGAGATCCTGTCTCAAAATGAAAAATTAAAAGGACTATGATGTTGTTCAGTGGGTAAGTATTCCTGCCTGGTTTAAATCCACAGAACCACCTCCGCCCCCCCGCCCCAAAAAAAAAGGAAGAAAGAAAGAAAAAACAGATTATTTAAGAACAATCATTTTTTAACCCGTGGAAACCACAATCCTCCCTAAGATTGATTTTTTTTTTTTTTTTTGGTAGGGGAGCACCTAGAACTCTTTCATTCAAAACAAAAGAGTAAAGGATATTTATTAAAGTTAACATTCACAGGTAAAAAGAACCAACCGTACTTTCTAGGAAATCTCTTTGAGGAGTTTACCCTCGAAATTTACAGCTGATTAATTTGTCAATCCTCTTGAATTATTCTCCTGACAGTGGACTATAATGAAAATACCTAAGTGCTTTAAGAAGGTAGATTTAAAGGAAACATGATCAATTACCTCATTTATTTAGCAGTATAAAAATAGTAACTATACAACTAGTCCTGCTAGTACTTTCTATTAAAAAAAAAAATGCCAGGCTATTTTAAAGCTTTTGAATTAAGATATGGAGATGGGGGATGGGAACACATTTATATTTGCCACTTTCTAAGGAACATAAAAAGTATGAAAATAGGCTTCTACACATATTCTATAAACTTTCTTTACTGAGAGCACTTAATAAATATTAAATGTCATCAAAATAAAATAAAAATGCCTATGATGAAATCCAAAACTTTGAGATACCCAAAGGAAAAGTACTGTGAATGGTGTATATAAATACATAATTTTTCAATATAGATGTTGCTATTTTATCTTGGGAGATTAAAATTTTTACCTAATCTTTTTTACCTAAAATTTTTACCTCTTAGAGCTAAAAAAAAAAAAAAACCCTCCTTGGGCAATTTCTCCCCATTATGTTTTTAAAATAAATCTTAAATATTTAGTAAATCTGTACTAATTTTATATCTTTCTTTTTTGGGGGGAGGTGGTACCAGGGATTGAACTCAGGGGCACTCAACCACTGAACCACATCCCAAGCCCTATTTTGTATTTATTTTATTTAGAGACAGGGTCTCATTGAGTTGCTTAGTACCTTGATGTTGCTGAGACTGGCTTTGAACTCAAGACCTTCTTGCCTCAGCCTCCTGAGCTGCTGGGATTACAGGCATGTGCCAATTTCGCCCAGCTACATAACTTTTGAAAACTTGCCCTGAGCCTTGAATTTTTCAAAAAAGAACATAGTTCTTGTTAGAAGTTCAAATACCACACACACAAAAAAAATTCATTTTCTCTTCTTTTTCTACCTTGAGAATTTCTAAGTTCATTAATTATATATCATGAGCTTTAAGAAGGTAGGTACAATAGAAGCAACTTCTGGGTCTCCAGGGCTTCTGGGAATGACTTGTGTTACACCATATTACATTTTTGCCATGTACAGAGATAGTTTCATTTGCTCTGCCTCTGCTTTTACATGTGCCACTCTGTAAGCACTCCTGAGAGGGAGTGAAAAAGCAGAAGACAAAACCACAAACTTCAGAAGCCAAACAGAGCTAGTAATGTGTGCAGCTCTTCCCTGGACACACGAATGTGCTTGTGTTTCTTGCAGAAAGAACAAATAACTAAAAAGAAAAAAAAATGAACCATTAGTTTCATTACTTCAGAATCAAGTTCAAATGGTTGCACTAATCACAGCTTTAAAATTTAGGCATTTAGACTTTATCTGCATTCTCAGTCTAATTAATGGACTTTGGCTTTGATCAATTAAAATGTTTCATATATAAAAAAGGGAAATGAGTTTAGAGGTTTTTTTAAATATCAAATCTCCTTGCTACTTAATTCCAGGCATGTTTTCATGAAAATGTTTGTGTATGTGTATTTATGACAAAAAGGGAGAGGAAGAAGGAGGAGAAGGAGGAGGAGGAGGAGGAGGAGGAGGGGGAGGGGGAGGGGGAGGGGGAGAGAGAGAACAGTAAACACTGAAAATAAGCATGTTTCTCCATAAGCTGGAAAAAAAGTTCAAAAGTTTTGTGCTCAAAATCAAAACAAGCTCTTTGGCAACTAAATATTACATAATAAGTCATACACTATATGAGAATACCAAAAAATTTGTTATGCAGCATATTATAAGCCAGTGATTTTTTTTCATTAAAAAGGAAAATAATTGAATTTATAAGGGGAACTTTGAAAACACTCAGAATAGGCATTTTTCTAATATAAATAGTACTATTAGGGGTTGTGGCTGTAGCTCAGTGGTAGAGCACCTGCCTCACATGGGTAAGGACTGGGTAGATCCTCAACACCACATAAAATTAAATAAAGATATTGTGTCCATCTACAACTAAAAATTATTTTTTAAAATAGTACTATTATATAAACTTAGAATTTTATAAATTGAAATCCATTGCAATTTTATTGAAGCAATAATTTAACCAAAGTGAAAATCATTAGAAACTTTGTTATTTTAAGTGAGGGTATTAGTCTCAATAACTCTTGAGAAAGATCTCTACTCTAAGGATGGCAAATTCGAGGCCAGCCTTAGCATCACAGTGAGACCCTGTCCCAAAATAAAAAATAAAATGGGTTCAGGATGTAGCTCAGTGATTAAGCATCTGTGGTTTTAATCCCTGGTATAAAAACCAAACCAAACCAAACCAAACCAAAACAAAACAAAACAAAAAACTCCATTCCAAAGACTGGTCTATTGGGTTATTTGATGATTCTCAGTACTGGATTAAGTTTGGGGCAGTTTCTTGCTGATTTCTTTTACTGGATACTTCTCAGACCTGTCAGTGACCCAAAGCTCAGGGCTTTGCCCTCTATACTTAATCTTTTGATTACTGGATTTCAAATTTTTGATCATGCCACACAATAAGAAATGAATTTTATAATATCACTATGCACAGAATAAAAACAAAACAAAAATGTCTTGGAAAAAATACTTTACTACGTGGGATAAATCTGGTATTTTTAGTTCATACTTTTTCTTTCTTTTAAAATGCTATTAATTCAATAAATTGATTTCATGCGCCCTTAATGGGACACAATTCACACTATGACATCACTGTTCTAGGTGATCTCCAGTGCCAGTTTTAAATATCATCTGACTCCCATATTTATACCACAGCCATATCCTCTCCTCTGAACTCACTCCTATATTCTATTTGACATCACCACCTTGATATTTTTCCAAACCTATTCCTCTTTCCTTATTGGTCCTGTTTTTGGTCAAATGAAACACCATTCACCCAGCTACTTAAAACAAAGTCTGAAATCCTGCTCAACTGCTTTTTCCTCTCATACCCTGACTTGTCTACCTTTGAAATATAGACTAAATTTAATTTCTCATTGCCTCTCCCACTACAAATCTAAGTCATTACCTAGTCTTAAAAGTACTACTAAAAAAAAAAAAAAAAAAGCCTATTAACAACCCCCCTCAGCCCCATTCTCCACATATTATTGTACTCTCCAATAAGTCAGAGTGATATTTTAAAAATATAAATTAGTTCATGACCCTGCCCAAAACTACCCAATGATTCCCCCGATACTTAGAATAAAATCCAGATGTCCCATATGGCCTATGGGGATTAATGAGATCCTACCTATCCTTTTCTGACCTCATCTACTATTCTTTCTCACTCCCTTTCAACAATAGTTTTTGCTGTTCTTGGAAGATGTCAGGAACACTTCCACTTGAGAATTTTTGTACTTGCTATTCCCTTTGCTCAGAATGCTTCTGTCCAAGATACTCACTTTCTTCATCTCATTGATTTCTCTGCATAAGAATTATCTCAAAGCAGTCTCTCCTGACTACCTGAATGGAAAAATCTCTCCCAATCACTTTCTAGCTTCTTATCCAGCTTTTTTTTTTTTTTTTTCCTTTGTAGCACATATTACCTGACACTTATCTCCAATACTTAATAGTGCTCAAATTTTAGTTCAGGGAATGAATAAGGAATGAATATACAAATTAATGGCAATAATTACTACCTTGAGAATACTATTGAGAAATTCATTCTTGGTAAACACAAGCCTCATTCTTTATGATGCCATTTTTTTTTCTCTTTCAAATTCATCTGTTTAAAGGGTAAAGGCAAATTAATAAGAAAAAAAACAAGATCACCTTTGTGAGCTGATTCACAAAAAGTATAACTGGAATACACTCAAACTTCTGAATAAACTATAAAAATTTTTGTTATATTGATATTTAGGCAAAAGTAGTAAGAATCTAAAGTAGATTCTATATACTTATCTAGCAAGTATAACATTTATACAATAAGAATTATAAAGTAATGGATAAGAGCCCAGACACTTGGCCAAACTCTATTCTGGTTCTTAGTACCTATAAAACTTTTCTTCACCTTAATTTTCTCTTTATAAGAATACTAATAACAGTACCTATCATATATTGTGCTGTGAGAACAAAACAATGACTGTCATATAGTAAGTCTCTAAATTCCAGCTATTATTATTCTCTTTGTTTTTCTCAAGTGCTGGTCAAAACCAGACCCTTGCACATGTTAGGTAAGCATTCTATCACTGGACTATTTCCCCAGCCCCTATTATTCATTTATAACTTATCTCTGAATTCTTTATCCACTGACATTATTGAAATGCACAAATGTTGAGGCACAAAAATCCAAATTTTGCTTTACATTCCAAAATATCTTCTCAGGAAAAGTAGGGAATATTATGTATTTTGTCCATCAAATACTGGAAAAACTTGGTAACTGAGTCATAAAATGGTACACTAGAAATGGGAAACTCTGTAAGTCCACATATTAACCAACAATATTGTACAAAATAAGTAGTTTGACACAATTTACAAGTACAAAAAATACTTGTTTTAAAGATTAAAATTTAAACCTGTGTAAATTCTCTCATGTCAAATTGCTCAGCTTTTTGAATAATTAGAACTTAATTCATATTTTATACCTTTCATAAACAGCACTATTTGTTTTCAAATTCTATCATATTTTATTACAATGATACAAGTCTGTAAAAAAAAAAAAAGAAACGAAAAGCTTACTTCTCCAAAGATAGACAATGCTAATTATATTAAATATTAAAGATCAAGGAAAATGAAATCTGAACTTTTCCAGCATTTATTACATTATATAAAGAGGAGGCAGGAGATAGTTAAGTTCTAAAGGATAAATCCTATGATTAAAATTAACTGCTTTCTTATCTGGGCTAGAACTTCAAAAATAATTTTAAACTAAAAAAGAACTTACTATAACCCTAGTCATAAAAGAAGTTTGCAATCTCTCTGGAGAAGCAGGGTATCATCTGTTGCCATGGAGTCAATTCTGGCAGCTAAGCTTGACCTCATAATTAACAGGGATCCCCAGCATGAAATATTTAAAAGATTAAAAATATTAGCAAGCCCAACACAAAAATTACTGAATTTCTACAGCAAACATACCTGTTCTTGTTATGATCTATATAGTTTAAAACCCTGCATTCCAAGTACTAATCATAACAGAATTCAGTAGGCTACCCTGATTACTTATGGATAAAAACACATATACCAGGTACCTGTGCATATTGACAAATATGTCAGTTGGCTACCTTCATGGGTAACCTCAGAACTTGTTAGTTGCAAGGCCTGCTAAATTGTTGCTAATAAAAGGCAAATTGGATATTAAGTATTCTTATTTCACATAGGCCCCTATATAAAAGCTACAAAGTAAAATATGTTTAAAACAAAACTCAATGGGCCCATTCCTACAGAAGATCAAGTTTGGGCTTTGTTTCAAGTAGGGAAAACACATAGGAGTGTAAATAAAATAATAAACTAATAAAACAGTTCTCAAATCTCAGACTTTGTCAGTCTTGTTCTTGAAGAGTTAGGCTTCTTAATATGATGTCTTCAGGTATAACTCAAACACAATTTCAAGTAACAGATATGCTTAGGGCAATCATATCAGTAGCATATACTTTCCCCCAGGAGTTAAGAAAATATTGCTTAATGTCTGATTTATTAAATATGACAGCAAATCACTCAGTTGTGTTTAATATTAGTTTATTTTCATAATATCTAAATGACCATATTTACATGTTTAAATTTATCACATCACTAGTTCTTGCAAGCTTTTGCATTTTCTATTGTAAACATTTTCTCCAGATGAGCTTTAAAAACACAGAAATTATTCATTTATTCTTTATCAATAATTTAGAAGGAGAAATACTGAGTGTTACCATCCATTCGAGAATTTATGATAAGGAATAAGATCTTGGCATTAAGAATAAAGAGAGGGAAAAAAGTCACCTAAATCCAAAACCAGGTAGGAGGTGAAATGGGAAGTACATGTATGAGAAAACATTTTTGAAGCCAGAGTAACTTTTATGCATTTTAAACAAATTTTCTATATAAGTTAATAACCGAAGAGAAACATTGCTTTGATAGTGTGACATGAATAAATGTCTTAAAATGATGCATATCGTGTGGAGTAACTATTAAATAGTATTCACTTCCTCCAATCAGGAAGAGCTGCAATGGAAAACTAAGTGACAAAAGTTAAAAGCATGATCCAAGAAGTCTTGTAATCACTTAACAGCAAACGGCCCCGCAAACCCCAACAACTGGAAGTTGCTCCAGACCTCAATAGGTAAAGAATAGGTGAGAACTGGTTGGGGAAACAGGACACCGCAAAAAAAAAAAGCTGCTAAAGGGAACAAACCCCTCCACCTGCGCACCCTCACGAATTGTGGCCAGAAAGTCTGAGGTTTACTCAGGGTTGAAGAGACTTTGGAACAATGATTTCAAGTCCTTGCCCTTCCCACCCTTTCCGCGCATCCTCAACCCTGTCAACTCCTACTGCAAGAACGGTGATTAAGGGGTCGAGGGGGCCGAGTGAGCCAGCCGCTAGAGCGCCCTCTTTACCTGGTCGCAGAGGCGCGGCCAGGCAGGGAGGGTGCGTGAGCGTGTCGGCGACACCTGCCGCCTGCGCCTTTCCGCCCGGCCGGAGCCGGGATGCCGATGCTACTTCTGCGAGCCACGGCCCGCCTCGCTTCCAGAGAGAAGAAAGAACAACAGGCAAGACGTCTAGAATACCCGCGCCACCCGTCATTCATAATCCGGCGGACCGGAAGCCGATGGGTTACGTCACTTCCTTCTGTCTCACTGCCAAACATTTCCCTCGCCTCTGCTGCGGGAACCTTTGTTTTACCTCTTTCGGAGTCGGCTGATGCGCGGACCGGTTCGAAAGAAGCCACCGGGAACGGACCGAGTGGCGGGGCGGAGCGGTGAGTTATGACGAGGGACTTGCTCCCAGATGCCTCTGGGAGGCTCGAGACCCCCGCGAGGGGCGTGTGGGACCTCTGTGGGGTCTTGGTGTTCTCGCTTAGTTAGGGTAAACCTCGTAATTTGCTGCTGGAAGCGTGCCCCAGCCTGATCGCTCTCCCCTTAGAGTGAACACTACTGCCTCCTCCGAGGGTGTTGTGGACTAGGGACCCAGCTCAAGGGATTAAGTCCTTGGAACTGTGTCTTGGTCCTTAGAGGGTTACAGTGACCTCTCTGTACAGCAATTTAATCATCATCTGGTTCCCATGTCAAGGACCTTCCCCCGTGCTAGGCCCTCGGTGTGTTTTGCTTGATCAAAGGATTGACATTCGTTTTTACTTGTCTCCTGCTGTTTTTCAGCTTCTGTACAGTTTGACTAATTTGGGATTCGGGCCTTTTTCGCCTGTCCTGCGTTTCCAGACGTGTCTCTGAAGCGTTAATGTAATTCAAGGCTGAGTACTCCGTGGAGGAATGTAAGGGAGCATCTTTAAAAAAATATTTATCGAAAAGGATTGCAAAAGCGTTGCAAAGACATGAACAGAAAGATTTCCCTGACCCGTCGTGAGATAGTAGCTGTAATATTGCATTCTGCATGAATTGAGTCATTTTTGTTTATCTTGTGCACATGCAGATGATCAACTTTGAGCTGATTCTGAGATTATCATGTAGGGTGGAAAATGAGATCTAGGAAATAACATTTATATTTATTTATAACTACCCAATTTTGATTGGACAAACCCAGAAAAAAATGACATTTAAGCAAAAATCTAGTTCTTTGATTCAATAAAAATGTAAAAGCACCCGTTAAATTCCAAGAACAGAGAAATAACTGAACAAAAATCCCTTCTCTGGTGAAGTTTACCCTTCAGTGGCATTAATGAATTTAAGCCAAGTGAAAGGTTAGGAAAACAGCATTGTAGATAAGAACATTGTACAAGTTCCTAGTCATACAAGAGGCGGGTTTTGTTTCATTTTTTTAACATTTGGTTTTGTTGGAGGCTGGAGTTTCTTTTTTACCTTTTGCTGAAGTGACCTGGGAATGATTAGAATTATGTAGGAGAGAGAAGATGGTTATACTTTGCTTTGATCACTTAATCTAATAATTCTATATCCTTTCTTTTGTGATAATTTACAAAGAAGCAAAAAAAATAGTAAAAAAAAAAAAAAAAAAGTACTCAGTTTTATAGGGATAATAACACCTGTGTGAAAAAGAATGTGGCTCAAAGTAGAAAGTCCTGGCACCATGAAAAAGTATTAAAAGATACCTTAGGACAGAAACTATTAAAAGAATTTGGGATGGAAAAACATAGCAGATTCCAGAGTCTTCATGAGAAGTAATATTTGAACTGAGTGTGGAAGTATATTGATATAATATTGATAGGATGTGGAAGTTAAATAGGTAAAAAGCTTTCCAGGCAGGGAAAAAAAAAAATAGTATTGGCTCTGCTGTAAGGAATTTCTGGGTCTAAAGAATGGAGGTCTTTTATGTCAGTTAATGAATTGTCTTCTAAATGCCAGGCCAAGAAATTTGGGCTCTATTTTGAAGGCAATGGGAAAGCTTAATTTTTCAGACAAAAATAAGAAAAGAAAAAGAAAGCTGCATTTCACAAAAATTAATATGGCAAATATTGAAGTTAAGGAGTATAACTAGATTATTGGTATAATTCAACTAAGCTAATTTAGACCTCTGAGTTTTAGTAGCAGCAGTACAACTGAAAAACAACACATTCTGAGTCAGAACCTACAGGATAGGCCGGCTTATAGTTTTGGATATAAGGAATAGGAAAAAACTCAATGAGAGAAAGATTTAGACCTCAGACCTCATTACAGAGAGTTATATCATTTACTTAAATAGAGTACAAGTTAAGGAACTTTTGGGAGAGATATTCATAATATCAATTTTAGTTTTAACTGGATTTGAGATACCAATAGGGCATCTAGGTAAGCATGTCTGCTAAGTAATTGGGCATATGAGGTTCCAGTTTAAGAGAGATTAGAGTGAAGGAAAGACATATGAAATAATCTGTCTGGAGATGATAGTTAAAACATAATATCTATAAAATTACCAAAGAATAAGTTGGTAACAGAAATAAAGTAGCTAAGGATATAATACTTGGGCAATACTAAGAGCAATAGAAATGAGGCAATGAGCCACAAAATAAGTAGTTAGAGGTACAAGTGGAAAAGCCAAAAAAAAAAAAAATGAATATAACAGAACTTATAGTAGGAGAAACTTTTCTGAAAGAGAAAGTACCGAGCTTATATTTACTTGATCAGCATTTACCGAAGACCAGCTGTTTGCCTGGCATTCTGGTAGACACAGAGATTACAGCAGTATGTAAAACCTATCCAACCCTCAGAAAATTTACATTCGATTGAGAAATATAGGTATCATTTATATGATTAACACTGATGACTATTACCAATAAATATAGAAAGTTTGGGAGCCATACAATAGTAAGACTTCTAATTTTGTTGAGGAAATGAGCAGGAAAAAAAAACACCCTGAGACTTGAAGGATGACTAAAATGTGGTAAGGCAATCTTTCTACTAAAGCACTGAGATAAGAAAGGTTATTATATATTGGAGACTTGAAATAAGTCATGTGGCTATAACAGAGTGAGAGTAGCCTGAAATAGAAAGTAACATTTAATAATTTTATATTTTGTGCCATATACTGTTGTAACTGCTTTAAATGTAATACCAGATCTTCATGTAAGGCATTAGAGACCTTGTTAAGAATCTTGTTCTTTAACTTTGGACCATGAGAAGTGATCAAAAGTATTTTTAAATAAATGAAATGAAAAAATTTGAAGGAGGACAAGAATGGTTATGGAGAGACCAGTTAGGCTATTGCACTGGGCCAGATAATAGATGATGATAAGTTGAGTTAGAGTAGTAGTAGTAGTAATTGAAAAAGATAGATGGATTTGAGATATATTTAAGAGGTTTGGTGATTGAATTTGGGGGTAGGAGTTGAAGAAATGGAGGAATTCAATCTGATTCCCAGTTTTCATGCTGTTACAATGGGGTAAATATCATTTGAGAAAGGTAATACTAGAGGAAGAACTGATGAGAAGAAAAGAGTGTATGAGAGGTTTTATTAGGAATGTGTTCATTAGGAGGTCCCAGTGAAATAGCCAGGTCAAGCTGGCAATTGGATCTTGTAAGAGAGCCACAGGCTGGAGAAAGAAATTTAAAATCATTGGTAAAATACTGTAGATCAAATGATCTAGGGTAGAAGCTGTCAAACTATAGAGTGGATCAGACTTGCCGAAGAGTTTAACACAGATTTCTGGGCCTCTCAGAAAAAAGAATTTTTTTCAGTAGGTCTGGGAGTGGAGACCAGAAGTTTTCATTTCTAATATATTTCCAGGTGATGCCTATGCTGCTGATCCGGACAACATGTTTTTGAAGGAGTAGACTAAGAATTCCAGAATCTAGCCTTGAGGATCTCATTTTTAATTGAAACAGGAGGAGCCTTTTAAAAAAGACTGAGAAAGAAGCAGAAGGGAAAAATTCTATTATATTTGCTGAAAAATAACTTTGGTAAAAGCATTTTCATAGAATAGTGAAGCAAAGGTCAAATTGTAGAAATTGCAGTCCAAGGGGAAGGAATGAATAAAAAGTGCAAAAATTAAAGATGTTCTGAGGAAGTTTGCTAGAAGACAGGATAGGCAAGTCTCAAATAAATTTAAATGCCACTAGAAAGAAAAAGTCATAAATAATAAAAAATATTATAATTTATAGCTCAAGGCTCCAGAAAGTGTAAGAAAATATAGGATCCAAGTACAAGTGGCATTGTGTAAAGAACCATCTCCTTTTCTATCAGGTGGAAAAGAGGAAAGGATGGGTGGCAGGAAGTTGGTTTAATTCCCAGTGATAGCTTCTGCTTTCTCTGTGAAATCCGTGAGGCTATCTACTGAAGTAGAGATGCACTTTTAAAGAAAATGGAAAATGTATAACTGGTATTTGTAGGAAGTGGGAAAGGAGTTTATCAGGGAAACATGATAGGATTGATAAATTGTATTGAGGGCCAAGATGAAGTTGGTGACTCTGGAGATACAGAGTGTATATGTTTTCCTCTCAGCTATACTTAGAATTTTGGTGTAGACAGGGAGAAAATAACTGGGTGGTGTCTACACGTAGGTAAAACTACAGGACACTGAGGCAAGGATGCTTACAGTGCTGGCAGAGTTATTCAAAGGTTAGACTATGCAATGTAAGGTGGATAGGATATAAAATAACATACTACATTAAATCAAAAAGGATAATAAGAAGTAGAGAAAAAGATCATTGTTTAGTGATGGGGATTTTGTATTACTTATATATATTTGCTGTAGAATGATCTAATAACTCATTCCTAGAATGATCTAATAACTCACTCTTACCAACACAACTGCTTTTATTTCCCTGGGTCATTGACAGTTTTTAAAGTGTTAAATATTGATTTCTACATTCTCTCCCCCCCTCTCTTTTAAAGCAACACTTAGGTTTCTAAATTAAGCCTTCATTTAACATATTAAATTTCATGTTTTGTTTTTCATGTATATAGGACTTTGTTTTCCTCAACTTTAATGTACAGTAAAAATAATATGGTTCTTTTACAATGTACATTAGTTATGGGTTTTAAATGTACAGGAAAGGAATTGTATGGAAGTAACACAATTTGGTATAACTCAAGGAAAATGTCTTTGGAAACAGCAAAGAACGTACTCCTTTATGACTTCCTTATGACTATGTATATTTGCCAGTAACAAGGGAGAATAAAAAATAGAGAAGGCAATAGAGATAGGTGGAATAGGTAAA